GAATAAAGGCACTCTGGCCCCAAAACAAAAAGTAGATTACTTTTAACATTATACTCAAAGGGCCAGTAAATATCACCCCGGGGCCGCCAATTGAATAGTCCTGATCTACAGTTAATTAACTGTGTACTAGCTTTAGTTATACAAAGAAATCCAGATACTTTACGTTTTAATACTGACAGGGAATTATACAATGTGTAAAAATAAATCTGGGATCATTTAGGTTTTGAGAATTTTGCCGCCATGAAATATTCTTTTATTTTTATAAGAACTTCCACTGCACACAAATAAATTCATTAGCTTAATACATAAATAAATAAAATCTACATTAAGAATCACTGACCTACAAAACCTTCCATACAGTATGTTGTAAGTCAAAGTTATTCCAAGGAGACTTCAAGTGTCCATTAAAAAATAAACTATCTCCTCCAAACAGTTGAAAATGTCAAAATAAATCTCGGATCTTTTCAGTTTTGAGGATTTTCCTGCTATGAAATGTTATTTTATGTTAGGATAAGATTTTCAACATAGAACTGCATAAACAAAAAAAGAAAAAAGTTTAATAAATGACCCGAAGCTGAGCAGTAAAACAAAAATCTACACTAAAAGAATCCCTGGCCGTTTCTCAATCTCGAGGAAACTGGCTTCCAAGCCAATATTTCAAGGATACTACGTCATCGAGTGCCGTCGAAGGACTGTTCCAATCTCCAGCATACTTGAAATTCCACCGAGGCCGTGTCCTTGGTTTGGGGGTAATTTCGAGGCTGCACATGGGTAGACTTTGCGTCCTTCAAATCCCCACAATGCTTTGCGCACGGACCAATTTCCCCAAATCTGTGGCGGGAAATGTAAGGCGGGGCCTCTGATATGAGGCACACTTGCTAGCCTGTTCCACTCTTCGTTTTCCGAATGCCAGGAAGGATTCTTGCCTCGCTTCTGAAGGAAGTGACTCGGAAGACATGTGCTACCAAGCAAGCATCCTCGCGATTGAGAAACGGCCCGTGACCTACGAAACCTTGCATATGTTGTTAGTCAAAGTCAGTCCAAGGAGGCTTCAAGTGTTGTCCATTAAAAAAAAAAACTCTCTCTCCTCCAACAGTTGAAGCCCCACATCAACGGGCCCTTCACCCCCGACCTGGCCCACCCTGTGTCTGAAATCGGGGCCACGGCTAAGAAGAGCGGCTGGCCCCTGGAGGTGAAAGTCGGTCAGTATCTGTGACGTTAGCTGTATTCTCTTACAGGGTTTTAATGCTTTGTCTAGTGAAAGTTGATATTTCTTCCTTTGTTCCTATGAGCTGTGCTATTGACCGGATCTCACATTACAGCCTGTCATGAGGCCTTTCAGGGTGGAATTAGTAAAGAGTGCAATAGAAGTCCAGTCATTGAAAGAATAAATAGGACATTACTAAGATAATAAGTGAGCCTTTTGTGTTCTCCTTTTCCACAATTTTCTCTCGTTTCATATGCAGAATAATGTGAAAAACTATTCCGTAGCTAATTGGGGCCCGGCGGGGGAGGAGGTGCTGCCGTCATACTGACATTTATTGTTTATTATTGACATTTTAGTTTTAGCTGACTGGTTTTCTATTTGTTTATTTGTTGTTTGTCTGTTTGTCTTCTGTCTGGGTGGGATTTAGTTTGCCCTGGTGTTAATTACTATTTACATTGTTACTCTACCTATTGTTCTATAAAGTGAAGATTTGTTTACCTACTTTTGATACATGCTCTGATAGAATAACTCTATGCTGTTATGCTGTATAAACAAAGTAAACTGCGCCTCCTTGTTCTGATTTCTCCTCTCATCTTGTCTCCTGCAGGTCTGATCGGCAGCTGCACCAACTCCAGCTACGAGGACATGGGCAGGGCGGCTTCTCTGGCCAAACAGGCTCTGGATAAAGGTCTGAAGTGCAAAGCCCAGTTCACCGTCACCCCCGGCTCCGAGCAGATCCGCGCCACCATCGAGAGAGACGGATATGTGAGTCACAGTCCCGCTAACATTTAACTAGTGACCAGGGTTTCAATCATAATAATAAGAATTGTGTAGCAGAGTCTCCGTTAGCAGGTCATTACCGGACTAGGACCGGATATGCTGATGTTGAAAACTCAGTTAATGGGAGTCATTTTATATTGCTTCAGATTATAATCGTAACAGATCGAAAAATTCAGATTCATTTTTCAATAAATGATTCCACAAACAACATAATTATTACATTCAAACAAACTACTTGTAGTAGAAGAAGTACATTATTCAAAAGTTGACATTAACTTTGAACAACAACGCGGGAGAAACGGGTCCTCTCTTTTCCCCTCTCCCTCCCTCTCTCTCCTGACAGCCCGTCAGTTTCTCATTTTGAATTTACCGGTTTTTATTCAATTTTACCAGCTAAAAAACGGTAATTACCGGCTAACGGAAACCCTGCTAGTGACCCATACTATGCAGGCATTTTCTTTCAGCACAAGGAAAGGATTTACTCTAATTCATAATGTCCCTCTTCCAGTCTAAGATCCTGCGTGATGTTGGTGGTGTTGTCCTCGCTAATGCTTGTGGACCCTGCATCGGTCAGTGGGACAGGTACGCACCTCCGTTATCAAATCACAGATT